GTTATTACTCATACCTGAAATGCACCCAGTCCTTTCTTAGAATCTTTAGCTTGCTCCAAGATCCAAATCAAATTAGTTCCCAAATCTTGTTCCCCTTGGTTGTTAGTAAATATGTTACATACCACCACTAGAATAAAAGCTTCTTGAAAACAAGGGCTGTTTTTCCATTTGTCTTTGTATCATTAGCTCTGAGTACAATATTCAGTACATAATATGCACTTACTATGTCTGCTGACCTCCTACCCTACCACACCTCCTAACCTGTGGCCCATTGGGTGTCACGTGCAGCAAGTGCCCCCAAGCCAGCATAGCATCCCTCTTACCTCCAAGGCGCCTCTCACTGTGAGAGGACCTTCCTTCCATTCATATACCCAGGGTGGGGCAGGATATAGGGAATTCCAGGGGGATAGGCCATTCCCTATCTTGGAGGCATCAAGACACTTTAACTGGTTCAGCTAACTCTACAAACCTCTGAAAAGTGAATTTGCATCATGCATAAAAATCCCTAGTTATATCTCATTTCATATCATGGTAACACACTATCATTTCTCATACCCAAATATAAACACACAAACACACACACACACACACACACACACACACATTGTATTATATCCCCTGTGTCTGGCACATAGTAGGTACTTAATAAAATACTTATTGGCTGATTAGCTGAAGATTCATATAAAAGCACAAGAAACCATTTCTCGGTTAATTGATTAATATCCTTTAGCTTATACTCTCCTGCTAATTTTTTTTAACATTTTACCACCCCTAGACCCCAGAGAAATATTAAAAATAATTTTACTGCAGTACTTCTATATGAGTGGTTCTCAGCATTGTGTTTATCAATCATTCTCTTATTTTCAAGAAAATTGTGTAGTCTGCGACGATACTCTGAGGAATTATATTTCTTGTTGTACTGAAAAAAAAAAGCAGCATATGAAACCTAAATTCAGAAAGCAGCAATAGGTTAACAAAATACTTTACTTTTTTTTTGTAGGATAAAAAGGGAAGGCCTTTCCTGCTGACTTATTTTATTAGACTAACAAACTTAGGCCATTTCAATGTTGGGGGATTTTTTTGGTGGTTTTTCAAGGCAACTAGGTTTAAATGATTTGCCCAGGGTCACACAGCTAGTAAGTGGCAAGTGTCTGAGACCAGATTTGAACTTAGGTCTTCCTGACTCCAGGGCTGGTTCTCTGTCCACTGAGCCACCTAGCTGCCCCAGTTGTTGTTTTTTTAAATAAATGTCCAATACCTGCAGTGAGCCAGTTTTGCTCACCCCCAGATGCCTTTGCCAGTATTTGCTGTCTGACCTTTCTGATCTCTGCACCCCAAACTGGCCTAAATCAGCTTTTCCATTAACTGGTCCTGCAAAACATCCTACCCAATCTGTTCCTGTGAAAAACTGTCCATTCTTTACCTTAATTCCTCCCTGAACCTCCTCTTTGTGGTTTTCGAGTATAAATTGCCCCTGACTCTGCTAGGCTATGAGTCCTTTGTACTTTGTACTGGGATGCCTCAGCACTAGTGTCTGATTTTCCTCCTAATAAAACTTTTCTTCCTGAACTTGGACTCCACTTCATTTTGAGGGATGGGCTTCCCTGAGTTGACCCACTTAAAGAGAAAGGGTGGCTAAGTCAGTCATTAACATAACAGTGTGATAGTAGATTGAATATTAAAAGCAGCAGACCCTATGCCCACATTCACTACTGTAGGCAATTATAATTATAATATATGTCATATATTATAATTATGATTGGTCACTTAGTTTTTATTAGTTGACATTTTATTTGATAAATATTATTGTAGAAAGACTGGTGATGAGTTGGAAAATCACTTCTCTTTACATCTGTTATTACAACTGACTTCATGTGATGAGTTGGAAAATCACTTCTCTTTACATCTGTTATTACAACTGACTTCATTTCCTCACAGGAAATTTGTGAGATTTAAAAAGCTCACAAAAGAAGTAATTGATGGGGCAGCTAGATGGGGCAGTGGATAGAGCATATTAGTAATGGAGTCAGGAGGACCTGAGTTTAAATGCTGCCTCAGACACTTGACACTTACTAGCTATGTGACCCTGTGCAAATCACTTAACCCCAACTGCCTCACAAAAAAAGAAGTAATCACTGACCTGTTTCATCCATGACTGAAACAGAAGCTCCTCTGTCAAGGCAAAAGTACATTTTAGAATTTGGTATAAAACAGACGTGTTTGGTCTACAATCAAGCAGACTAGTTAATAAATTAATTTTTATTTTTAAGAACATCACTGCTTTAGTTCTCTAGTAAAGTAAAAACTTATGTGGCACTTTACAAAATGGAAGTTTCTAAGAACTAGAATTTCTGATACTCTCTAATACAAATTTCCAGGCTAACTCCAGAAGTAGGAGTAACTGAATTTAGTGCTATGGCTTGAAATGGAATCAGTTAGAAAGCTGTTATCTATACATTAATTAGGTTGCTGGATGGCTCAGTGGATAGAGAGCTGGGCATAGAGTCAGGATAGAACTAAGTTCAAATCTGGCCTCAGACACTTACTAGCTGTGTGACCCTGGGCAAGTCATTTATTTTCTATTTGACTTATTCCACTGGAGAAGGAAATGACAAACCACTCCAGTTTATTTGGAAAGAAAATCCCACGGACAGTATTGGCATGCTATGGTCCATGGGTCACTGCATTCATTTAATGGTCTGGGGACAACGTCTAGAAAAAGTAGGGTTCCAGATTAAAGGGAGAGCAGCAAGGCAACATGAATTAATTCTTAGCTAGATAGAAGGAATTAAGAAAAAATACTAATATCAAAACCACTCTAAGGCTCCAAAATGTGGGACAAGGTTTTACTGGATGTCACTTAGGAGTAGAGTACAGGTATTTAGGTCAGATTTGCCTCTTGGAGAAAATGCATCTGTTCTCTGGGTTACATTTTCAATTTCAAAATGCTTAACTGCAAAGTCAAACTTCCTGTAGTTAAGATTTATTTTTTTCAGATCCTAAGAGCACTACAAAACCCTTGGAAATTCTGGCATAGTACAAAGGAGTACTGGTTGGGAGGGCTTGGGTTTAAATTGTCTTTGAATAAGTAAGTTACTGATTTATCCTCTCTGGCCTCATTTTTTGCATCTGTAAATGAGGGTTGGATCCACTAACCCGAGGTCCCTTTGAGTTCTAGACCTCAGATTCTATTTTTCTGTCTAGAGGGAGTCAGGACACCTGAAGTCTAGGCCCTCCTGGCTCTG